CCCGTCCCCGTCGGGTATCGGGTATACCGTACCCGTACCCGTACCCGTCAAATTTTTTATTTTATTATTATTTTTTTAAAATATAATATTTTTAAATTATTTTTTTAATTATATTATAATTATAATTAGATTATTTCTCTATCTCATATTATAATAAATAATTACACATAAAAAATACTAAAATTCTTTAATATAATTAAATTAAAAGTGAGTATTTAATTAAAAATGAGAACGGGGACGGGTATGGGTACGGGTACGGGGCGGGTAAGTACATACCCGTACCCGTACCCGTACCCGATTTAATATATCGGGTTTTACCGGTACCCGTACCCGGTCAAACCGGGTATTCCCCGTCAAAGTCGGGACGGGTTCGGGTATTACCCGCGGGTACGAGTATATTTGCCATCCCTAACCATAACGGATGCATGAGAATAAGTATGTTTACCAAAGCAAACAAATCATAGATAAGTACTAACACTAAAAACATTTATTCCAAGGATTAACATATATTTTTTAATCTTTATAGTTTTACTTATCTTATTTTATAGTTTTTATAGTTTAAAACACTTTTTATTCTTTATATTTATCCTTTTCAATATTTTTTAGTTTATATAGTTTAAGGTAAATCCTTTTAATCCATATTGATAATTATCTTCTAATTTGTGTTGACGTGGTTAAAGTTTTCAATTTTGTGAGAATAAAAAAAAAGTATCTCAATAATTAATGTAAGTACGTACGAAAGTAACATAAGTATCAAAAAACTTAATTTATAGTAATTTTAACAAAACAAAAAATGCATTAGAGACAATTGAATTAGTCCCTATAGTTAAAGGTAGATGTTTTTAGTTTATATCGTTAATATTTTTATAACTTTGTGTTGATGTGATAAAAAAAACTAATTTCGTGAGAATAAAAAAGTGTTTCAACTATGAGTGTTACATATGAGGGTATAAAAAAAGACATGAAGTGTCAAGAAATCTAATTTAAAATAACTCTAAAATAAAATTGACATCAAATACACAAAATTTTTAAATTAATATTTTGGTTACATCAATACGAAAGGGACAACATTACCAAAAAAAAAAAGAGTTAATGACAGAGATTAAAAAATTAAAAAAATTATAAGTATTGAGACTTAAAAAGTATACAGACTAAAAGGTAATATAAGTGATATTATAGTGACTAAATAATATTTTAACATATTTTAAATTATAGAAACTAAAAAGATAAAATAAAGTGAAACTATAAAAATAAAAAGACATTTCAACCAGTTTTTAATCTACTATATATATATGTGTGTTACTAAAGTCATTTTAATAACTACGATACATATTAGGAAAAAAAAAGAGGTACTCTGTAGTTATAAAAATTAAAATAATGACTGATTATTTGGACAGAGATTTGGAAATCAAATATCTTTGAAGTAGAAAAAAGAGATAATAAATAAATAGATTAAAGATAATAAAAGAAAAAGTAATTTAGAATTAGGTATAAGAATAAATTAGCTCAAAATTTGTGTATACAAAATTAGAATATCTCTTTTATTAATAGTATAGATATAAATGTAATAGGCAAATTTACATAATTAGATTTGTCTATATTTCATCACATGTAAAGGTTGAGGTTGCTAAAGTCTTTTTAGTAACATTTTCTCTTTAATTTTTTTAAACTTTTTTAATTTTAAAAAATAATCTTTTTTGAAACTCAAAAGAAATTATAATAAAAAAGAATATTTTATTTTATAATTAAATCTTTAATCTAAACTCTAATGTCACCAAATTCTTTTTTAAAACTTAAAAATGCCGCTTAATAAAAAATAATCAGTCCCTATATATTAGATACAAACATCTATCTTGTACAAGAACGTTTTTTTAAAAAAATTCTTCAAGAGGGTTTATAAATTTTTTTTAACTTTTATTTAATTTTTTTTACATGGGATAGAAATATATATCTAAAAAAAAAGACATTTTTATTTAGAAGTCCAATTCTAATATATAAATTTTTAAATAATATTTATTTCATAAGTAATAGAAAAAGAAAAATAGTTGTACGTAAGCACGAATTACTTATTAATTATCAGAAGAAGAAAAAAAAAGAAAAAAATTCAAAAAAAATATTTTATGATTGTGACCAATTACAAATCAATTTTTATTTGTATAAAAATCTCTTAAAAATAAATATTTTTTTTATCACTTTTTAAAGGCTAAACATTCTTCCCAATCTTGTTAGGAAACAACAAATTAAAGTTCATTTTTTTTAAAATTTTGAGCACCAATTAATCTTCTTGTTGATTTATGCCGGATATACCCATCTCTGTCAAATAAGAAAAATTAAAAATTGATCTCATGCAAAAGTTATGTACCAGCTCTGTTAAATATATATGTATAAATTAAATCAGTAAAGTAAAATATTCCAAGAGCAATTCATGTATGTACGTATAGATTTTTCTTAATATATATATAGATATTAGATATATACACAAACTGTGAGACAATCTTTCAGTATCTCCTTTATACTCGAAATCAGTCCTTGAAAAATAGTGTTAATTAAAAGCACATGAAGATAACAAAAGTTTAAGGATATTTGATTAGAATTCGCTCTTTTTTTTTTAGTACATTTATAATTGCTTTACTTATAGTGTTATGCATGGTTGTCAGGCCACAAGGCTGAAATATTGAGTAAACTAGTTCAATTTAACTGTTCTCTACATCACATCATCTTGAACTACTTCCCAATTCACAATTATTTTCCAACTTGGATGTAACAAATATAAGTATGTGGCTAAATAGACTTTTTTCAAGTACTTCTAACTCAAAAAAAAATTGAATTTTTTTTATAAACTAAAATTAGGTAATGCGTGAATAAAAAATATGAGTTTGAAGAAGTTAATAAAAAAGAGTTTTTACAAATTAATTTATACATAAAATAATTTTAATTTTTAAAAAAGTTTATTACATTTTTTTTCTTCTAATATTTACTTTTGGAAAAATGTACATAAACAGACTCTAACTAGACTTCAACAAATGTCAAAGTTTAGTGATGAGATCTTAAGATGAGGAAGAAATGGAGATTACAGCCTTTAAGTCAGCAAGGCACTCAGTTGGAAGACCAAGAAAGGAATTCATAAGGAAATCATCAATAGGATCAACTGTTGCCACACCAACCAGTCTGCATTTTCCCTCTTTATCCAATCTCTTGCCTCTTCCACTCTTCACAATGCCCTTTGATTCTTCAGATGTCAACACTGTCTTCACCAGCAGTGGGGCAGCCTTATAGAGACTACCAGCAGAAAAAATGAATCTGGCCTTGAACTCAAGATCAACCTTTTAAAAAAAATTATAAAAAAAAACCGAAGCAACCATATCATTAATTGGGTGGTTATACATGGAACTAAACTAATTAGAGAGACACCTTTGGCAAATTAAAATAAGATCATGCTTGACCAACTGTTTTTGCCTTTACAATATGCAGAAGTTTCTCTAATTAACTTTGATAGTGTAAATTCATTTTATATTGTTATTTTATCGCAAATTAATATATAGAGAGTAAATTTATTGACTTTTATTATAACTGTTATAGAAGCTATACGACAAATGATTTTTTGAATGATTAGTGGTATAAAATTTTCACACAGATAATGAATGTCTATTAAACTATTGTATTTCACTCATCTTTCTCTAAAATTAGTCCTAAAAGAAAATTTGAAACAAACACGCAGCTAAGCATTAATTAGGATCACTAAAAGTTGTACACATAGCATTTGTTTGAATATATTTCTGTAAAATTACTTCTAAAAGAAAAAAAAAATAGGAAATTAAGATTAGCTTATAGATAAATTAATATGTAAAAACTCTATAATATAATTTTTCTAAAAAGTTATACATAAGCTTATGTATAAATTAGTTTTATCTTATAAAAAAATTTATTTCATTTTTTTTTTCATTTTCTTTTTTCAAAAGAATTATAGAAAAATTTATCCAAACATACCAATAATACACAATCCTTTGAAGTTGAAGTATAATCTCGAGAACTTATGTTTACCTTGCCAGATTCTTGGTTAATACTTCCTTGGAATGCTTGTGGAACTATATCAATCTTCAAAAATGGTGGCAATGGCAATCCAAGAAACTTGGTTGTAGAACTTGTTAGTGGTGGAATATACAAAGTTTCAAGATCAAATGAAACAGGAAGGTCACTTTCGGTTGAATTCTCTGTGACCTTCGCACCAACTCCAGTTCCTATTCCCCCTTCAGCATCATACTCAAAGTCAGGATACCTTGAAATTTCAAGCTTGCAACCCTTTTCTGTCTTGAAACTGACAGTGTAAGACTCGGTTGTTGAGGGTTCAATACTTGTGGAAATGGTATTTTCCTGTTTTTCACTTGAAAAGGAAAAGAAGATAGTGCTTCTTCTTCTTCTTCTAAACTTTGATTTCTTGGTGCACAATTTGCATGGAAATGGTGGGCTCAAGGAGTTTATTTTGCAACTCATCTAGTGTTTGTGAATTAATTACTTGATGAGAGATGGAGGTTGGACTCTAGAAATGTGCTTTGAAGAATAAGTCCTAGCGGAATTATGAATTAAGATCTGAGGTTGGTTTTGGTTTGAGGTTATGAATCTTATCTTTTCTTAGGGGTCTTGGCTTTGTGCAATAGGAAATCAACACTTGGCAGTTTAATGGTATTGGGCAGAGAAAACAAACAAATGCTCGGTAGACTTCAATTATTTGTTTTCCAAAATTGAAAAGAGCTTCAGCCACAAATTGGATTAAGGGTATGTCTAGATAATAAAAAAATGGGTAGAGAAAACAAACAAAATGATCCGTAGACTTCAATTCTTTGTTTTCCAAAATTGAAAAGAGCTTCCAGGACAAATTGGATTAAGGGTATGTCTAGATAATTTTTTTAAAAAAAATTACTTTCACACAAGAAATCAAAAATAATTTTTTTATATGTTAAAATTAGCTTATAAATAAATTAAAAATAAAATTTAGAAAAATAAATTAGAAAAAAATTATATAAATTAGTTTATGTGTATATATAAACTAATTTTAGTTTATAAAAATATTTATTTTATTTTTTCTGTTAAAATATAATTTTAATCTTTATAGTTTTACTTACTTTACCATTTTAGTTCTTATAGTTTAAAATATATATTTTTAATTTATATACTTACCTTTTATAATCATTTTTAATCTTTGATAGTTTAAGATAAATTATTTTAATTCTTTTACTACATGTAGTTAATTTTTTCTTTTTAATTTTATCTATTTTTTTATTGGTACAATATATAGAGATATTCAATTTTATAGAGTGAAAAAAAAAGGTATTTCATAATGGGTATCCTAGTTAAGGGCACAATCTTTAATTTTAAGGTGAAATATTTCAATAATTAAAGTGGTCCAACAAAAATCTCTAAAGGACTACTATGTTAGACATTGTAATTTAAGGATGCATTTTTGCTTATCTACACTAGTCTTACAAAAAGGAAAGGAATTTTATTAGGAAATAGTTGAGAGGGAAATCATTAAACAATAAACATTAAGGTGAGTGAAGCTAACATCTGAAGTTGAAGAATTATCTTTAATTTTACTAATTGGTACAATAATAAAATATTTATTAAATTTTATTTGAGACTTTGTGAGGATGTTGGTCTGGTCTCCTCCTTATCAATTTTCATAGGGATTTCTGTTTCCCATCCAAAAATAACTCAAATGACTTCTCTTTTCGGAATATGTAGGAGTAGGTGCATTCCTATACTTTCTGTTTTGCCTGAAATACCGAAGTCAACCCAAGATTAAGAACTTTAACTGAAGCAACTAAATATAACTGCCATAAACATGAGAAAATTAAAATCTAGAATAAAATTATTAACAACACTACATCAAGATTAACTATGTATTCCTAAATATTAAACTACAAACAATTGATTCCCATTCATATCAAAAGACATATTTTAAGCAAGTCTGTGCATGAGTTTGCAGTTAATTCTTATATACCACAATGCTAGCCAGTTCCCACAACTAGCAGTTGTGTGTATGCAATGCATATTAAACTAAAACAAGAGCAACCATTTAATAAGAATTGTACCACCATTTGAACTTGTCAAAAGTCACTATTTATATAAAATATATTGAATTTGAAGTACAGGTTATAGCACTGCTACATCAGCAATTTTGTTTTTACCATACAGTATTTTGACAGAGTTGTAGCTTCATGGTTAAAATTCATCATCTTTCACTTTTTTCCTTGCAAAACACCTTTCTTTGTACACATGAATTACAGACTATTTCAGATTATTTCAAGGGCCTCACATTTCAAAGACTTTCCATCTCTCTTTTAAAATTTACTATTCTCTCCTTTACCACCGATGATATTTCCCTAGATAACAAATTCTGGAAATAATCATTACATTAATCAGTCGTTGTAAAATTCTGGACAAATAATTGCAATTCCGGATGAAGCCTAATACATGTGAGATCATGTTATTTTTACTGTTAATTTAATATTCTTTCAATGAATTTCAGTTGATTTTATTAAATTAGTTTGATACTTGTGTTATTGTGAGCTTGTTGCCATCAGGATATATTAGGCTTTGCCCTCTCCCTGTAATCTGGTTGGACTCATCAAATTTTGTGCAAGCTTATGCTTTCCAAGCCCACACATTACAAAATAACAAGCAAAGGGAACTAATGTTGCATTCTGTATTTGTCCATCAAATTGTAAATCTACAAACAGACATTAGGTTGTACAGCCACACTGACTAATATGTAGTCTGGGTTTGGTATCTTCTTCTATCATTTTTCCGAAACATAATTAACATAAAAAGCAAACCTTGTACCTTAAATTAAAAACAAAGACACAAACTATGGAGACAGTACAGGGAAGAAATCAGTCCTACTTGTAGTTCTGTTGGTTGGTGGTGGTGAATATATTATGAGCTTGCATATGAGGAGTTCAACCATTTGTCTATACATCTGGAGATCAAGGTTTTCCACATTTGGTATATGACTTGCACCAAATAATTTTACTTTGGCAGAGGAACGTAGTTCAACATTACAAAACGCATCAGAAGATTTATCACAGAAATGAACACGCTTAGTTCATTCACGAATTAACAAGTTCAAAACAGAAATGCTACCCCCTCTGTCACTTGATATTCAAAGTTTGTTCTTGTTGTGACTATCAAAACAGAACAAGTTTCTGTAAACTTATTTGGGTGGAAACAAAATGTGAAGGGGGAATTGAGCAAATTGCACAAAGTTTATCTCTTAGCTCACATAGATAACTAACAATACACACGTAGAAACAACCAAACTGCATCACATAAACAATATGAACATTTATACATAGAACTAATTTACTTTTTGTATTCACTCATTACAAACTTCAAATTCAATATCCAACTCACTCATACAGCACAAAGAATCAACTTTCGTTTCCTTCTTGAAGGATCAATTGATACAAAAATATAACACAAGCACATCATTACCCTTTCACGTTCCAACTCTTAAAATTGAAAAACAAAAGCAATACATAAAAGAAGCTCTCCCAAATCTAGAAGTCAAGATCATTTTGTAATTTGACAAGGTTGATCTAATTGAAAATTTTCACCCTTGGGTTTTGGGTCCCCTTCATATGTGAAAAATAGGCCCAAATGTGTAAGTTATTTATGTATTATTTAACGTGAGAAAGGTCAAATTAGAGTTGAGAGTGAGAGGCTCATTAATGAGAGAGAACAGTTGCAAACAAATATAGAGAAGAGAAGAGAAAATCATAGTGCAGTTTGCATATCCATAGGATGAAGCACATTAGATGGAATTGGAATGAAAATAAATTGAAATTACCAGCGGCAGATTAGAGAAGCCGACTGCTGACTCATTGGAACACATTTGCATTGTAGACCCCTAAAATTGTCCGGGTCGGAAAT